TCTGTTGTATTATGCAAATCTGTAGCTCTAATATGTAAAGTTTTAATAGGTTTTACGCAAACAAGTAAACATTATCTATGTATATGTATTCAAACTGCTCCATGGCAAAATAATACCAATAAATCAGACCGGACCAGGAACTCCACCAGAGCCTTCTGATTGGGAAACCGATAAAGCGACTTGTCGTGAGATGTAGCCACGACCCAACTCAATAAGGCTATTCCATTATTAAAACAATTACTTGCTCACGTATAATTATTTAAGTTATTTTGAATTTACACAAAATCAACATAATTACCATAACAGAAACAAATTCTGTCCAACAAACTTGAACAGTTGTAATGTTATATGGTTCATAAAGTAGTGGATACAAAATATTATCTGATTCATGTCATAGCGAATAAAAATCACAATTTCAAGAGGCTGGATTACGAAAGCAGGTGCTGATATAATTTGAGGAATATCGCTCTCAAGAGCAACGCAACAAAGACTGTCCACCATCAGATAAATATTTACAGAATGGGAATTCCATATTATCGAACTATCTGAATTTCTTCATGGATATTTTTTATTGTTTTATTTTTTATCAAACTCAGTGTAAATCAATTATTACAGCATTACATAATATTCTTTACGTATTACTAAACATATTTTTAGGCTCTGTTGTTTTTATAAATATAATGTCTCTATCAGTAGTGGCGTATATGCCGACAATAAAATCAATGCGATGCATTGGGGCGCAGAGCATGAGGGAAGGTAGAGTTCATTGAACATACTGGAAAAACTTCAACCAAACTTTAAAAAAAAATAAATATTAAGATTTAGAGACTTATAATAATTATTTATTTAGGGGCGGGGTGGCCGAATAGGCTAAAGCGTGTGTAACAGCACCGCTAGTTGCCTGGCAACCGGATAACAGAGATTTGAGATGATATAGAAAGTACGAGTTCGCGTCCCGGTGCCGGAGGGGATTTTAAATTTCCCCGCCCTCACCCCCGGCCCGGGAAAATCCCGTATAGCCTAAAAGGCGAGGTAGGGAATAACAAAAAAAAAAAAAAAAAAAAAAATTATTTATTTAGGGGGGGGTGTGATCGAGCGTTTACAAAACAAAATAATTACGAGTTCGCGTATCGGTGCCAGTGGGACTTTTAACTCTGGTATGAATCCCCCACCCTCTCCCCTGGGACGGGAAAATGCCCGTACAGTCTTAAAGGCGAGGTAGGGGTTCACAAAAAAATATATTATTTATTTAATAATTTTCTGTTAGGAAAGAGTATGAAAAATGTTACTTCTCAACAGTAACAACCGAAAATATACTCTTCATTGTCAAAATAGGATAAAACCTCTATAATTAAAATTAGATAATTTTTCAAAAACTTCATAAATATTAAGACTGTGCAAGATAATTTGGTCTTATTTTGTTCTAAATTTGCTTTGCTTTAAAACAGTGCTGTATCATATTTGTTCAAATCATCGTAATTTTGTTGCTACGGGATCATAAAATTGATGACAGGCAAAAAATAAAAATTTTCAAGTATTTATAATGATCTTGAGATCTGTTGAAATCGAATGCTTGGATTTATCATTAACTGCATGCCTCGTACAACTCAAAATTTGATGTAACCGGCTGTTAAACCATGTTTAAATATTCCTAAATGTCAAAAAATCATAATTAGTAATTAGACCGTGAAAAGTACTTGGCCTACGTTAACGAATCTTTTTTTTTAAAGGCGTATTACGGAAGTCTAGTACTTAGTCAACTATATCATCTAACAATGAATCATTATGTTATCATTAAAAAATAAAATTAATTAAATAAACAAAAAAAATATTGAGACCTGATATTCTGAGGTAGCATCGTCTTGTTCAAGAAAAGATGCTTAAATAAATGATGAAATACTTGCTACTGAAGCTGTGTTGTAAATGTAGCATCCTCCATTGTATCAGACTTTCAAACTAATTGTAATATATAACCAAATCATGAACCTTACATTATTTTTTCCAAATAATTAATAGCCACTTCTTATTGTATTATATTCTCATATTATGGAATACCAATGAACTGAGCATAAAATCAGTTTTAATTAATATTCTTCCAGCACTAAAATCTCTGAGGAACTTATAACTGATATCAATCAGTCATTGCTTATTCAAAGAATATTCTTCAAACAATACAAAACTCAAGGCTACGACTAGATAAATCTTTGATTCGTGAGATATGTAAAATATGGTACAACACCAAATATTTTTTAAATTTAGTCCTCCGGCATAATTACTATGAAAATCCTAGATAATAGTTTCTGCAGACAAAGGATCATTATTTTATATTAAAAACACTGAAAATTATTTCACAATGGTTTATTATTTTCAAACAATTATACATCTAAAGTAACACTACTTTCCTAGTAACAAAGAAAATAAACAAAAGATGATTCCTATTATTGGCCAAACAAACTTTTTTTTTCATCATTAGTAATTTGCAAAAAAACAAAAGAATTACTTCAGTAACACTTTCAAAATCAAAACAAAGGATATGACACCACAAGTAGAACATATAAAAAGTATCTAGAGACCACATTGTCCGATTTTAATTTCTCACCAATAGAGTTTTCTAGCAGCATATTTGGTAACATGTATAGAAATACATAACACTTCATATTAAGTTCCCTTCCCTTCCTCTTCTTCTCCCACTTAATCTTTAAATAAAAAACTAATCGCAATAATCATTATCTACATGGTACTTCACATAGAAACATTTTTCAAACTCTATCTTAACAAAAGATTATTAGGATTGAAATGATAAATATTGAGCAAACGGCTTGACCAATTTCGATGGCTCAAATTATTCGGCGAGAACTCGTAGGTGTTTTAAAATTATTTCGGTCCAAAACACGAACTAATTATAAAATAAATTATGTTTTGATCCATTAGATAAAAGATATGTAACCATTTTTCGAGCTACCGGCTGGAATGATTTTTAAGTTAGGTAGTTCAATTCAATAATCGGCTAGTGCTCGTGAAAATTTTAAAACAATTTTAGTTAAAAATACCGAAAAGAATATTTTGTTGCTTTCAAATTATATCATGAGTAAGATGATGACCATATGTGTTGAATAAACATTGTCAATACTTAAAAATTAAAAAGGTTAAAATAAATAAGTAAAATATTTAATTTAAAAACAAAAACCGGCTTCAGGAATCTTAAGGGGATGCACTTGCATATCTACCTAAATGCCTTGTTAGATTTCTAGAAAAATTTAGGTTTACGATTATTTAAAATTGGTTTAGTAATAGTGTGAATTCCATTCCCGAACGAAACTCAAGGCTCTTTCATGTATGAACTGGAGACAAATTTTACCTTCCAAGAGCCGTAAGTTGTAGTGGTAGGCACTCGACTACTAAAAACCCCGTTCTAGAGTACAGAAGTAAGTTACTCATTACAGCACCAGTGTCAAACATCCTCAATTGAAGAATAAGGCCCAAAAACTGGCGTTTCAAAATCAACACCTAATGCAGCTATGCAGTTTCAGATATGCATGGAACCCATTAAAATAAAAAATTAGATTGCTGTGCTTATATCGAACGAAAAGCTGTAGCATTAGGATGCGGACTATTGGAAGAACTGTAAATCTGAAATCACAAGATTTAAAATCCAAGTCATATTCATTAAGAAAATGAACCCAATTACAGAACTTGGTATATCTTCTTGAGAAACTTTCGTGACGAAACCCTCAAATAATTCTACAAAAGCTTATAATAAATAGGCAAGATGGTATACGATAGAGCTAAGAAATTTCTACTTAAAACTATAAGAGATATGTATCCCACTACCCCATGGTTACATGTGTACATAACACCTCTGCGAATAATATCTCTCACGACGTTTGGAGAAGAAAGCAAGCAACATTGACAACGAAATCAAAGCAGTTTAGACTCGCCCTCCTAAGGAGATTTCCAACTGATAAAAAAGACCAAAATGCAGTGATCCTACTTGATTAATGCAGACTGTTATAATTTCTATTTCCGATACTTCATTTTGTTCCTCAAATCATGTTAATATGTGCCAGGAAATGTTTGAGGATTTGATTTAGAAAAAATAAGACACAGATGTCGTTTTACAATGGGTTTTGGAACAATGTGGGTAAGTGTGGACAAGGAGCTAGGACAGTTTTGCATCTATTGACTTGTTCTACACTACAGGATGGTAGTACAAAAGGTAAGACAAAAGCTAAAGTGAAATATACTGGATCGCTGAAGGTCTATGGCCAAAACAGGTAAAGATAATCAAGGCATAGGATTTAAATAATAATAATAATAATTAAATAAATAATTTTTATAGGATTGATTGAACTCATTATTTTAATTAGAGCTAATAGTCCGCGGTAATGAAACTTAAATAGTTACATCTCATCGTAACCTACAAATATTTTATTTTAGAAAACTCTTTGAATTGGGGCGTTCTCAATCTGGAGGGAGGCAAATAACGAGGTTATATAGAACAAACGGCCCAATATTTTTGTAGGCCATCTTTTTTATCGTTATCGGGATCAAATCATCATACGATCCAAGTAGAAAGCAAATAAGTATTTATGATTTTTTTGTAGCTAATTAAATATACAACGTTTGTCCCCCTTCAGATTGAAAACGCCTTAATTCCTAGAGTTTTCATAAATAAAATAGTTGTAGGTTACGATGAGATGAAACTATTTATGAAGTTTAAGGCAGATGTTAATAATACCGTACTAAGGGGTCTGTACCACGGATTTTAACTAATAAACTAGTAAACGGATAAGTTTTAACTAATAAGAACTTAATACAATTTAATTAAATAAAATATTTAGTGTCCTAAGTGTTGTCTGTTATAACGGATTTGAGACAGGATTGTCAGCATATGGAATCTCACTAAATATTTTACGTTTCATATAAACAGATATAAATATTTGCTACCGACTGTAACCAAAATTACACTAATAGAACATAAAGGGTGAATTAATGAAAAATTCTTTAGTTTTAATATTAAAAATTATATTAATTTATAAAATAAAAACATAAATTAGAATTGGCTTATTAATTAATTTTAGTCCCATTTCTTAATGGAGGTATCCTCCGTAGGCAAGACCATGACCCAGACTGTAGGATGGCAGAGTGAGAGGAGCGTGAAGAGCTGGAAGCGCGATCGGTGCGGAATGGAAGGCAGGTAATGCCAGTGGAGCGTGGGATATGATCGGTGCTGGCAGAGCGTGAGCGATCGGTGCAGAATAGATGGGTGCTGAGTGGACAGCGGGCAGAGCGTACGGAGCTGAGTGCACTGCGGGCAAAGCGATCGGTGCTGAGTGGAGCAGTGGGGCAGCGGCGAAGATACCACGCTTGTCCTTGGTCTTGGGCTCCTCTTCGACTGGAGCTCCAGCGACGGCTGCTACTACGAAAGCGAGGACAATCTGAAAAAAGATCATGCTGGTGATCAGTGATAAAAATATTAAAAAGTCCAAGAACCGTACTACATATAAACTAAGAACTGTTTGAGTCCTTTAAAAGTAAACCATATATGAGAGTAACAGTCAGAAATTTGTCAACATAAATATTCAGCATACAGTTTTTCAAAATATATAATAAAATTTACATAAATATAAGATATGAGTTAGTAACAGAAATTGGTCTGTTTATGGAAGTTTTGCTTTTGATAAGTTTTTATCTTTCGAGCCAATAAACCAGGCCATTCTACCCTTGAGAAATTGAATTAGGAGCCGTTTTTCAAACAGATAATCAATGCATCACAGATAATCTTGCTGGGTGTACAACTGCCCCCGTGAAAATAAACGTAAATAAATACCAAAATCATAAGACTTAGGACTAAGGGCCGGAATGATGAAAAAAGTTGGTGTCTATGGCCTCACGGAGGATGAATTTCCCCAGTTAGTGACGGAGCAGAACTACCCGTATTACAAAAATTTTGTGTACGGGTGGAAAACTGCTCTGGAGCTATCACCCTTTAATCTGGGAAGAAGAGGACCTGCTAATGGAAGGCCGCCAAACTGATATTGTGAAAACAAAATGTTGGAAAAAGAAGAGTTTTGAAAAACAAAACGAAATCGTTAAAGTACCTGCCGTTTAATAGCAGGAATGACATACACGTTGTGATATGCCATCCCTGCAAAATCCTGTGTAGCCGAAAGGCTAGGAAGGAAGGAATAAATAAACAAATAAATAAAATCATACTACTCACGAAAAATTTAAATGTTACTTGTCATATCTAAGTAGAGAAAACAAGTTGTCAATAGCATCAAAAATTTCTAATAGCTTGAAATTTATTTGGACCGACCTCAAATTATTAAGGTGTCAATAACAGAAGAATTCAGGACTGATTAAAATGAATAATAAGGGTCTACTCGTAAAAATAAATAGTAATGGTCTATTTTTTTTTTTCAAATTAGAATGGATATGTTCAAGTTTAAAAGGAACAATTAGGGTGAAATGGTTAGCAATTCCAACAATTGATGCTGTTGAACATGTACGTCGTTCGATCTCATTCATTGGGAGGGAGGTGGACCATAATGACTGATGAAACTTATCTTTGCGAGTACATCTCAATAGCGGACAACGATATACAATCTATCAATTTTTTTATTATTTTATAGTACTAAGGCACGTCCTATAGCTAGAAACTATACGAGCCAAGTAAAAATTACACTTTTACACTCTCGTATTTCCCAGGGTTTGAGTAATGTGTAAACATTTGGCAGAATTTATCATGGGCAATAGTAATGAACTTAGTTAGTTTTATGAACTCGTTAATAAAATATCTCATATTTTAATATATTTTATGCTGTTACTGTACCCTTAGCAGACAGGACCATTCAAAAATTTCGTGTAATAGTACGAATAGTACCATTTCAAACATTGAGGTAAACGTGTTTCCACCATCATGTAAAGATCGGCAATTCCGTAACAAAAAAATTGAGTTTGATTTGGGATATTAGCACTATGCCCTCGGGCAGTGGAAGGACCTTGTTGATTGTATATGTTTTTATTGTTATACTTATATATGTAATTTAAATAAATAAACTTTTTGGGGGGTTAAAAACGATATTAATATTCTGAACGTGAAAAACTCATCAAATGCGTGAATTTAATTTTCCAATAGTAAAGCAATTATGAAATTGAGAAACTCGAATCGTCTTCATTGACTGATCTATTAGATTTGATATTTAAAATTTGGTTCAAAATAAATTTAATACATGAAAAAAATACTCGAAATTAACCTGTAAATCTTTATTTCGTTTTCTAGTCCTATCATTCCCCTGTTCAGTTTATTTTTCCAATCATGCAATTCTTGTGGCGTAGGAAAGAGGCTATACCATAAACGGGTCATTTTGACGCTAACAACCACTGGTAGAAATGACTCTTTAGTTGTTGATCCACGTAACAACAATATCAACTTCACGAGACTGACTTAATTATTTTCCCCAACTAAAGTATTCTGAAATAATCTTCATTGTTGGAGTAGAGGAAAGAACCAGAGGCCACCTGCTACTCAAACATGAAATAAATGTAGTCAGTGAGAAACACAAATAAAAACATTTTTTTAAATTTCATTTAGTACCGACGTTTCGGTATAATTTTTAAGTCTTCATCAGGGCTGAGGAAAAAATGATACAATCAAAACAACTATTGTAAAAAGATGCATAAACAAAAGATGAGTTATCTGCTAATAAATAACTTTCTAAGAAGTAAACGAATTCAATTGTGTATTTAGTAGTAGATAAAATATATTTTGCTCTCATATTTTTTTTAAATAGTTGCTTGATAAAATTTTGTCTTTTATCAGCACTGATGAAGGCCTGAAGCTTAGTCCGGAATATAGACACACAATAAAATTTAAAAAATATATTTTTGCTTCTGTTTCACACGGACTTTAACCCCCAAATCACTTTTCGACCATATTATCTATAATCATCAATAGTACTCAGCAATATGAAATACATTAAATTTTAGAAAGAAGTTTAAAATCAGCAAATTGTATTATACAAACATTCTAAGAAAAATTTTCCCTTCCCTCGTATTTCGAATTAAAACGAATGATCGTGTTTCAATTATATTTTTTGCCTGAATATAGTTTTTAAAATTATATGGTCCATGATAATAATTCGATGATCTTCATTTTCTCTTCAAATAAAAACTACACCTACGTTGTTTTAATGTACTGTTGGAATTGGAATTATGTCTCCTTAGGTCTAACTTTTTTGAAACGATAACAGGCGAAGAAAATCTATCCTCACACAAACACTATAATCTATAATAAACAAATTTTTGTGAACAATTTAAAAAACAAACGAAAAATACCTATATGAAAATTTAATGTAGTAAAAATTTTATTATGAAATGGCATCTATGCTCTATATATATTTATACTAAACTGAAAGTATAGGTTTACCCATACTAAGGATTTTGGGGTGGAGCTTAAGGTGTTGAATGTTTCCTTACTCCATAGCAAAAAAAAAAAAAGTTATCCTTTATAAAAAAAATAGGAGCGGGGTATTTCAGTGGGTGAGCACTTCCTGAGCTCAAGGACTGAGGTTCGAATCCGGCTGATGACTAGTAATTTTTCATCAACTGCGGATCGACCATGGGGTCGGTACACCCTCTTGGGGTACACCACTCTGAAGTAGGTACTATTAGTTAAATAATTAATTAAGGGCGAAAACCTGGCGGTTGAGCGCTATTTCGGCGGAATCGGCTCCCTTCACAACTATTGATCTTGTAACAGTACTTCCTCACATAATACTGAACCCAACACCGTTCATGGATTATAGTTGTACAGATTTTTTCTTATAAAAAAGTAGCTTTGAATTACAGTGGAAACTGATACGGGTTAATTTCATCGCTCAACATAAAAATAATTATTTCTGGAATTGTTATTAGATATGAAGTCATTATTCCTGGAACATTTGACGCTATTATTACATTTAATTGTTTTGGACAATATTATTGTCCACGTGACAGAATATTATATTTCTAAATAAAATAAAAAATAAAAATAGTTTTGGATTTGATACTGCGCGACCTTCTTGTCTGCAATAGTAAGTCTAGAAATAAAATAATTTTAAGAAATATCACACTTTGTTAATCTCACTAATAATAATAAAAGTTTATATTCAAAACAATTGTAATTTAGTTATTTACAAAAGAGTAATATGTGTATTTATTTTTCCGTTTAAAAAGCTACCTTGACAGATATAAATGGGTTGCCTAGAGCTGGAAGACATCCATTGGAGCTCTGTACGATCATGGTTTCATAATAAACGAATATTAATGCGAAGGCCGAAAGTCACAGAATTAGTCAGAGAAAGACCTGTGAAGCCAAAAGGGTGAGGAAAATAATGTAAATTTCTTTACTTCTAGGATAAGCATTAATATGATAAATTATGTAATTAAAATGAAAATTACGTAAAATTGATTTTAACAATAAAATAATTTTTTGGGGGGCTAAGAGAGGGGGTAGGGTGATTAGAGAAGTGCTTATGATCTACGAATAATAATGATTTTGAACCTCTGAGCAATCAAGATTTTTTTTCATTAGGATTTCCAATAGTATGTACCTTATATCGTAAATAACTTTCCATATTCCTATCTTAAACAAACTATAACGAAAATATTATTTAAAACATCGCTAATTGTTATAAATCATCTTGTTGTTAATAATAGTATTTTTGATAAGTAGGTGATTAGGGTGTGGTTAATACTTTGAACCTTGACTTCTTCTTATTCTATGTTAGTCCTCTGGAAAAAATGGAGTACACCAGAAGGTGCTTCGGGATCAGTTAGTGGCTCGGAGGATACTTACGAAGTATTTCATGTTGGATGTTGGTGTGTGTTGGTGATTGGCCGGATTAGTTCTGGTCTGACTGTCGGAGGGTCAGTACGTCTTATATAGGCCGAGGAGCAGGGCCTAAGATTGCGCAAACCGTCGGTGGTCGCCTCTACATCCCCCACCTAGGGTTGCTATACGGTGACAATTCCTATCGCATTTGATCCGATTGGTCTTCATGTTGTTTCATCCGTAATGGTCATACAAACACTAGCAAATGATTATCTTCTGACTTCATTATGAACTAAGAATATACTGAAATATAAGAAGTTCTAATTTTGTAGATAGAGATAGCTATTGTGATGAGTTAACTACAAAACTTAAGAAAGATGAACTGTGGAGGATCGAAAAATAAAACCTTTGGTTCTCTTAAGATGAAAAATAACTATTGTAGTTTGGGTTTGATCAAAATTTTAACCCAAACCTTCTCCATACCATAAATTATAACTATTAACCGAAAAAAATAAGATAAAAAATTATCTCACGCAGGACGTAAAATTTATGAATGACTACGTTTGGGAGATGACTAAAAGTAAATATGTATTTTTAAATTCATAGCTATTAATTATTAATTTGAGTTAATATAAATGTACATACCGATATAGAAAAGAACATTGTAATTTCAAGTTCAGTGTAATTTAAGATCATTGTAATTTCAAGGAAAAAAATAACATCAGAAAGGTCATTATGCTTCCTAAAGATATTTATGCATATGAAAATATTTTAAAAATTAAAAATAGAATATTTTGGTTTAGTCTAAGGCAACGAGAACTTCTTAAATATGATGACATCTAAATTTTCCATTCAAGTGCCAATGTGTGTACATTATGTACACACATTGGCCCTTGAATGTTGAATCCACTTGCTCTGTAAAACTTTATTCAATTGATGTCGTAATATCAAGTGTTAGAGTGCCATCAATGGGTAGATTCTCTACAAGCGTTGTCATGTCATGTATTTCTTTTTATCACATTTGCTGAATATATATTAATTTGTACAGTTGTAAATTTCATGAATAGTAATAAAAAAAATATATTAATATATCAAGTGAGCGACAGTTTTTCCAAAGAACAGGTAGTATCCTTATTTTTTTAAATTGTAGCCTCAGAGACACAGATAGACCTAAGAGGCAGAATAAGGTGGATTTTTTCATATTCTAAGATGCAGGAATGCCCACAAGGGGATTTCATGGAGCAAGTTGCGGCATCAAAATTGTTGAGGGGGTCACATTTTGACGTGTTTTGAATTTTTGAGGGGGTACATTTCGACGAGGTTATGAATTTTCGGATTGAAAAGTTTCAAACCAATGGACAAGAGAAAATCATAGTACAGACCATTGAAAGTGTAATTATAATACCTACGATTTTTATAATTTTACCTTAGCTTGCACTGCTTTTAAGAAGAGAAAGGAAATAAAATATCTTAGGAGTAAGCCTCTCCCCCTTACTCCTTAGATATTTTATTTCTTTATTTATATCATGCGCCATCGACCCTGGGAGGTGGGAGGGGAGACACCCCTACTAAGATGTAATCAGCCATCCTTTATTTGTGCTATCATGAATGATATGGTAAGTATTTAAACATGATCTTCAAAAGAACTCTTGATATAATAAAAATGGAATGCTGCAAGGTTGCTTAATTTTGTAACTTAAACTTAGAGAAGCTTGTCAGAAGCTTCATATTTAGATATGTGCTGAAATTGAGACTCTAGTGGCGGTTCTCAGGTAAAATAATTCAGGAAACGTGTTGGACTTGTGGCATCTCGTGGCTGGCAATGTACAAACTTATTATTCATTTGCACCTCTGTCTTCGGCAATATCAAAAATAGCCAGCGATGCCAAAGGAATGAACGATGGGGTGCAAACCCGGGAATATTTCAGGATAACATGAGTATCTGGGAGTCCAAACATACATCATATGTACTGACAGGAGAAGGTTTCAGTGGAGTCACCGATTTTAACCCCATGTTTTGCTGTAGTCTTCATACGAAAACATTGAACATGAGTCGATTAGCCACAGAAAAAAATAATTAAAAAATGAAATGTTTCTTCTACTACTCTGCATCTACAAAAACATATATCCAAAATTCATTTTAATGATGTAGAGATGGTTGACCGTGTATGATATGAGAACGAATTGAACGGGAGGTGCGGTCAAATAAATAATAAATATAATATATAAATAAATAATAAAAATTAATATTTAATTGATCGCACCCTCCGATCAACTCCTTCTCATGAAATTAATTGTAATGTAGAATTAGAAGAAAATGTGCTTGAGTGATTTTTATAACTTTAGGTCACTGAAAGTAAAAAAAAAAAAAAAAAAAAAAAAAATTCCAGCATTCCAAAAGACCCTTAGATACCAAGACTACAGTTTCCTAGGAAATAAGAATATACATATTTTTAAACCCGAAAAATTCACTGTCTGATCTTCAACAAAAATAAAACAAAATTTTCTATATTTTTTTAACATAAGCTTAAACCTTTATTTTGCCTTATACTTTATTATTTTGCCTCATACTTTGACCAAATTCAAATGTTTTTATACTTTTAGAACAATGTGTTTTCTCTTCTAATGGGCGTAACAATAACGTCTTCATTTGCTCGATTTTAAGTAAAAATTTACTGTTAACGATCATGAATATATATACAAATTTATATCTCTAATACAAATTGAACTAATGGTCTAAGTCTTGTTTAATTTGGTACATATTAAATTTCTTTTACTGCCATGAAAATCTGAAGTTGATCGGGTAAGCCCACCAGGAACTATGGATTTTTTTTTTTGTAGCTCGAAACAATAAAAATCTTTATCGTAGAAGTAGTCATTTCTATTTCTATTAAAATTCGTATTCAAGGGTATATATTAAAATATGTATTTGTTTTATATTTAAAATGGTTTTGACATACTTTATTTGAAGCAACTATATATATTCTTACTTTCTATTATTTTATTTCTGAGTTCATTAAAATCTCTCGATCGAGCACATTTTCCTAAACCAGAGAGAAAGAGAGAAACTCTTTATTTTCATAAAATATAAAATATAAAGGATTGTTACCCAATTATATTGAGTTGCTACATACACAGCATACTCTTCTATCCTTAGGACAATATATGAACTTATATATAAATATACAGAAGTATTAGTTAATATTAGTAAAATAGAGAGAAAAATAGTAAAATATTAAAACTGTGACGTTACATGAAGTAAAGGAATTTTCACGGAAAATAGTAACAAGGATAGACTACTTATAGCTGATTGGAATTAAAGGTGATAGCTTGAAAAAAAAAGGCACCATGGAGGGAAAGAGGGAATCTGCGAGGAGAATAAAACAACAAACAATTTGACCAATTAATGGTCAAATTGTTTTTAGAATATCGTTTCATAATTGGCAAATAAATGTCTGGAGACCTATATATATATATATATATATATATATATATATATATATATATATATATATATATATATACATTTTTATTATTTTATTTAAACATGTATATGTTTCTTAAAGGTGTGGAGTAATTAGAGCCTAAAATTATGAAAATAATATTTTTGTATTATTTATAGTAACTATTGTATTTGGTTTTCTCGGCTCCTATGGCCCAGGACAATAACTAGGAGTTTCTTATAGAAGAGCAAGATTAATTTTGTCGCCCTTTTTTTCAGCTCCTTTCATTTCGATCAATGGATTCAAAATATTATTAGTAATGTGAATTTCTTGGAGTATCAACTTTTCAGAAATTTCAAGAGGATGTAAAATGAGGATTTCCAAAGTTCTAGAAGGAAAAAAATTGACGGTTAAAGATGGTCCTCACACAAAGTTTAAATATATTTCGCGTTTAATCATAGAATTTTATTAAATATGCTGACTAAGGAATCCCGACTGGATGATATTACAGCTACGAGTGAGTGAAAAAAAATGCAATGGATGAATTCTCATATTTGTCATAAGAAACTAGAACACACTGACAGTTTTCTTACTAGAATAATTCATAGACTCATACATTTCTACTGGTCAGGCTGAGTAGTTTCGTATAGGAAACTTTAGAAATTCAACGACAAAATCTTAATTTCTTTAAAATATAAATAAAATTGTTATTAATGTTAAACTAAAATAGGATAAATATTCCACACTGCTTTCCCAAAAATTATAAATTACTTGTCGTTTTTTATTAATATTTCTGAAGTTTATAAAATTCTTAAATTAAAACGAAACAAATCAGTTAAAATCGATTAATTTCAAATATGAAATACCATAGTAATAATAATAATAATAATATCAAATACTATCACTACAGATGGTACAATATATTTAAGAAAGTTTAACTAGCTTTACACAATTTCATCCCTGGGAATGAAAATGAATATATGTTAGGATTCTGAAAATAGAAAAATGGAGATTGTGTATTTTATCTTATATTTCCGCGATACAGTTAAAAATCGTTAGCAAAGGCCTTTACATGTTAATCTATTTATTAATTCTAAAATTAGACATTGTAATTATTTTCCACCAATAATCTGGTCGAGGTAACATCGCCTCTGAAGATAAATATTAATAACGGAATAAATTCAGATTATTGAGGTTTACCGAGTAGTTACGTAAATTAATAAGTTGAACTGCTTAAACCACTATTTGTTTTTATTCATGATTTCTTTCCAGATTGGCCTAGGGTCAGTTGTACAGTTGGAGTTAAAGTCAAGTTCAAGCTTGAAGTACATTCAATCATTCATGATTTTCATGGTTGACTATGGTTCAAGCTTGAACTTGACTTTAACTCCAATTGTACAACTGGCCCTTAACAACTCTAGCTAACACTTGATACAATGATCGAACGTGCTCTACTACAGCCAAATAAGTTCATCATGTCTTAAAATTTTTAAGTCGCGGTCATAGAAATTTCATCACCCAGTAAAAATTTTATTTTATTTACCACATTACTACTGGAAGATCTCCAGACATTTATTTGCCAATTATGAAACGATATTCTAAAAACAATTTGACCATTAATTGGTCAAACTGT